GACCATGCAATGCTGAGAAGGTTCTAACCTGACCTTTCAAACACACCTGGGAGAGGGCTTTTAGAGAGGAGCAATTTATTTTATCTGTAGTTACCACAATTCCAATTTTGTGGAAATTTCGTGTCCACTCACATACAGTTGAACAGAAAATGAGAATTGGAAAAATGAGGTTTTAGAGGTATTTGCTCTAGAAATAGTTCAGCATTTCAAGTTCCCTACTTAAATAGTTTATATCTGCCATGCATGTGTGTTTTAGCATGCAGAGAATTATATTTCAAGCCTGAACCACAAATTTATCTCCAGTAATCATCAATCTTTGGTAAACTCAAATCTGAACTTCCATCTCATTAAAAAAAGCTGAACCCAGGTGGGGTTTTGCCTGGTTTTATGTTTCATTGTAAAAACATTGCATGCCCATATTCAGAAATACTCAGTGAACCAGCCTTTAGCAGACAAAGCTTTTTTCTAGTGGTCAGGGAAATAAGGTTCTCAAGCAAGGAGCTCAGCAAGGATGACAACTGCACTGGTTTCTTTCCTTCTTTAAAATACTTATCTTAAAAAACATTAAGACTATCAGTATTTATTGTCCAAACTAGAACTTTTTACTTATCCTAACATCTGAAGATATTGTGATTTCTAAGCTGATGCTTGGCTTACAGGTTTTCTCCATCATTTTCTAGATCACACTTCCAGCTGATAGGCAGGATTTGAGTGCTTGACTCCACTGATCTGCATCTGATATCTCTGGGGGAACACGGCAGAGTCTCTGCAGCATAACTGTATTTTCAAAATTCTCTTAGGGTCAGGGTCTTACTATTTGCCTCTGGAACCCCCAGATTCTTCCTAATAAAATGCCAGGAATATACTCTGGCACAAATTAGAACATTAACGCCCTCCCAGACATGGATACTTGATTTTTCTCACTTCTGCACAAGAAATAATATTTTGTTTTGTTGGTTTTCATGCAAAGGCTGGGATTTTAAAATTATTATCATTATTGTTATTTGAAAGGCCAAATAAGAGAATTTTCGAAATTTTTAGGATGTGAGGGCATATATTTTCTTTAATTTATCCAGTTAATTCTGATTGGTGAAAGGTGTTTAAACGAAAGTGGAATATTTGATGGGCTTTGGAATCACAGTCAAAAGTGTGTCCCTCTTCAGTACCAGGTTAGAAGCAAGCTAGAGCAGCAAAACGTGCCTTTGCATTTCAAACACACTGAAAGGTATTCAGACCATACCACTGAAAAAGCAGAAGGATCTATGAAGAGCAAGGCTACATCCTGTGCCTTATACACCTCTTCATATGGTTGTCCATAAGAAAAAGATGTTTCAAGCCTTCTTGTGCTTGTTAATGTGGATTTTCACTGATACAAAGTGGAATTTGTCTTCGGTAAAGGGAGTATCACTGTCATCTGCCTTCTGAGACTGAAGAAGAGAGATAACTAGCTCTTCTCTGAAGAGTTTTCCTTAAGAATAATTACCCAAAAACAAGGTCTCTTGCAGGATTGACTTTTGCAGCGCTTTCTAGTCTATGGTATAGCTATACCACATCTGTATCACAGGTCAGTCCATAGAATACAGAACATTTAGTTCTAAATAAGGGCATTATTCAATTAGCTACAAGTTAGCAGTGTGCCATTAGTGCCAATGCTGTAAACCTGACATGCCAGAAAAATAAACTTTAGTCCTGTTCAGGTTTAAAGGTGATTTCTGGGACTTGTTTGCTGACTTCCTGAGACTGTGGTACACAATTTTTACTCATGAAGAGCAAGGTACCATTCATGGAATATCTGAACCATTGGCCCAGTAATCAGTTTGCGTTGAAAACACTATGTTTGTAACAATTATAAATATTTAATTCTCCAGTACATTAGTGGGGCTCTAGCTGAAGCTTTAGCAAACTGATTGTTATTGTTCTGCTCATTGTGCTGGGTCTGTGTGGCAGTGAAGTGATGCACAGAGGACACTTCCAACATTTCCTTCTATACTTTAAGGTTAAAATTAGATAATTGTGGGCAATGTCAACATAAAAATGTATTAATTACCCCCCCCCAAAAAAAAGTATAGACTAAAATGCCTTATACTACGATAGCCCAACTTAAAAGTAGGTGATTTAACAAAAACCACCAATCTACCAAGGCAATTTTTCTCTGTTCTGTTACTTATATCGACATTTATTTCCTTTCCTGTTGCCTTAAGGAAAAAAAACTCTTCTTTTCTCCAAAGCACAACGTGTACTCCAAAAAAACCCCAAACTCTCACTGCAATGGAGAAGTAGCAGTCAGAAAAACACCATAGACCAGATTTGTGCTTTATACACATTAGTGGGAAGGATGAATGGGACAAAGAAGTCTCAAATGAATTAGATGGCCTGAGAGATCTCTCCAGTGTTCTGCCCACCAACTTATAAACATGCAACCCAGCTGCCATAGTGCAGAAAACCAATGCTAGTATATGGGCCTTATTTATTTGCACTGAGTCCTGGGCTTGTGTAAGAAGAGAAGACAGCAGTCTTCAGGTTTTTCACTCAGATCATTGATAATACCTTCTGCTTTATCACTCTGAGTGCTAGCACAGTAGCCCAGTTTTGTACCCTGAGAAGGTCTGAGCTCCTTTACATTGACATCTTGGGTAAGGCAGCTGAGTGGTTCCACAGCTGCTTCACATGTAGCACCAAGCTGTCACCTCAGAAGGCAAGGAATAAAAAGGGAAATATGGCTGACATCTCAATTTCATCACACATTGACAACACTGATCCTGGATTAAAAAAAATTATGCTTCACAGCCCTTCATAACAAGACAACAGAAATTTCATGACCTCCTGAAAACAACTAATTTTCCATGTTGTACATACCCAGAGTACATGGAAATTTTGTGACACTATTGTATGACAGAACTGACTCATCATGAATAAATAATGCTGCACCCACCTTCTGAAGTTCCTATAGTTCCTAAAGCTTCCAATGTACAAAAATTTACCCTTTTCTAGAGCTTTAGAACAAACCTTCTATTTAATCTTAAATTTCTGTCTTTTAGACCATTTACCAAAGAAAAATATTCAAAACTTGCGTGGCTGATAATAGTCTTTCACTTGGGATTTTTGGCCATTGTTACTGACTTCCAGGTCTGACTGCTGAAATCTGGTTTGAGGGGAGGAAAGAAAAGAGGAGACAAAACACGGCAAAAAGCCTGGCAGGCATAAATTTTGCTTTCCAGAATGTCTGTGCTTGCAATCAGCAGCCTAAAAAGTTCTGCTATGATCATCAAGAGATGATGTCTATCAATCAGTCTTTAAACACTGTCCATTAGGTTCTCTTGTTGAGGATGTAACTGAATCTACAATTCCCTGAAGGCTGTTTTCAGTCCATTTTACAGCCAAAGGAGAAATAAGGAAAGCTCTTTTGCTTTCCAATACATTAAATGGTGTGGATCAAAGAGATTAGTATCATGGCCTAAAAAGTTATTTTTTAGAGCTATAATAGAATCTATACTGCTACTTTTCTTTCCCCCATAGAATAGTTTAAGACATAAATCAAGTCACATAGTATTGATAGTAGAATATATTTGCAGATGTCACCCCTTAGTATAAAGACTCAATTTCTAAGTGTTTTATTTTCTGGTACTGTAGGATTTTATACATTCATGCAAAATGCATTATATTATTCTCTGAGTTTAGATTTTTTCCAGATGACAGGTGTTACTTTTATGATGCCCTGAATGGAATGACAGAGTAAACTGCCCTGATTTATACTCCATTACAACCAGTGATACTGCTGTCACGAGTGCTGCTCTTTCTCATTACACAACGTCATGCTCTCCCTTGCCTAGCAATGAAATAAGTTGAAGCATTCCCAAATGCCAGCAACACGAGTCGATTCCCATCGTGCTTGCTCATTCACCCTGGGAACTTTTCCATTTCAGACCTCGGTCTATAGCTCCTCTTACGGATGGTTTCCATTCCGTTGCCTTATCTGGGGTATACACGGTATCTCATTCTTCATTTTAGATGTACTGTTTGGAGACAAGCACCAAAACAATAAATCATGGGGCTAGGTTATTTTTAGGCCACGTTTCCGAATCAACATTGAGACTTTTTCTGAAGAACCTGCACAAGGAACTTATTGTGTGCATACACAAATAAATGACACAATTCAATGGTTTAATACTATCTGCCAAGTTAAACTACTGCAGAGCAGCTGTGTACATTTAAAATGATCCCTGGCACTTCTGAAGAGTTCATAAATCAGCAGCAACATACTTTCTTCCAATTAAGAGAGTTAAAGGAAAAAATCAGAAATTAATGTGTCTAGGACATAAATGACATCTCTACACACTTGTGAATGTGAATCTGAGGAAAAAAGAAAGAAGAAAGCACTGGTCTTTACATTACTACGATTATAATAATTTTTAAATGCCTATTTTTGTGTTTCAGTTGTTGTCAGAAGCGTTGTTTTAAGAAGGCTTGCTTGAAGCAAGCCAGTGATATTAACCCAAATCTATTGAGGAAATGAATGACAGTCACCAACGAAGCCACAGAATGCCACCAATGCCTCAAACTGAGGCTCCTTCCAATAAGAGTAACATAAGAAATACACTCTGTATGGGCAGTCACAAGTCATCTTTTAGAACTCACTCTGACAGCAATTACTAAAATACTACTTATTGCTGTAAAGAATCACATTGTCTAGTTCTACTATCCAAACTTTCCTGACAATCTGCTGGCTTCATTTGAATGTCCAAAGGTAAAGGACCTTGAGGGGAAGCCATATGAGGAGCAGCTGAGGTCACTTGGTCCATTCAGCCTGGAGGAGACTGAGGGGAAACCTCACTGCAGTTACAACTTCCTCATGAGGGGAAGAGGAGTGACAAGCACTGACTTCTTCTCTGTGGTGACCAGTGATAGGACCTGAGGGAATGGCCTGAAGTTGTGTCAGGGGAGATTTTGGTTGGCTATCAGGAAAAGGTTCTTCATCCAGAGGGTGTTTGGGCTCCCCAGGGAAGAGGTCACAGCACCAAGCCTGACACAGTTCAAGAAGCTTTTGGACAAAGTTCTTGGGCACATGGTGTGACTCTTGGGGCTGTTTTGTTCAGGGCCAGGAGATGGATTCAATAACCTTTGCGAATCCCTTCCAACTCAGGATATTCTGTGGCAAACAGCAACCACCACACAATTGCTCAGTGACTGTGCCATTGGCTCTTGCACTCTGCTATAGCAAACACTGTAGAAATGCAATGCAAAGGCAATAACAAGCATCTTTACCATCTGTAAGTCTTTACCATCTATGGCAGTCTCTTCTATTTGCACTTCTTGCAACTTCTTGCCGTCTCACCTGTGTCTTTTCACAGCAGTTATTCGGTCTCGTGCTGTAGCTGGATCTTCTTCCCAACTGTATTTGACATAGTTGTTTGTCTTTGTGATTACACGCATTAGAAATACGTTTATTTCTAGTTTAGACCTCACTAAAGGAGGCAGAAAAAAAGAATAAGTGCATTAATAAAAATATTCACATTTTTTAAAAAAACCCTCCCCAAAACGACAATGTTACGCAGAAACCAACACCCATCTGACCAAGTCACCTCCCCTTCCTCTCCAGCAGATTCCTTAGGTGTATTCCAGAAAACTCCATTCAAAGCAACCTTGCTTCTTCCCTTTCTTCACTGAATGGTGCTGGCAACAAGCCTCCCACTGCTGCAATGCTGCAGGACACACTGCTCTTGCACAGATGCAATTTGAGGAACACGTAGGTTGGAAGGGACTTCAGGCATTCACCTAGAACATCCTCCTGCTCAAAGAAGGTTTTTAGAGCTTGAAGTAGTCAACATCATGTCCTACCAGGTTTTCAATATCTCCAAAGACAAGGATTCTACAACCTGCTCCAGGGTCTGACAACTCTTTATACTGTATTGGGATTTCCTGTTTTCTAGTTTGTGTCTGTTGCCTGTTGTCCTTCTGCTCTGCACACACAAGAAGAGGACTCTATCTTCTTTATACTTTCCTGTTAGGAAGTGATTTCCAGCAGTGGGAATCACAGAAATGAATTTCATTATTACAGTTCATATACTCAAAATCTAGTATTTCCATTTAAATACTTCCTAGGATCCATAATTGGTTCTCTCCATGCTCCAGAGAAAGGATATCTCCTTTCACTCTGCTCTCTGGCAGAACTGAGAACTGATATCTGCCTAATTGCCAGAGTGTCTGGAACAGGCTTGAATCTGCTTCCTGTTAACTAGACCATTACTGCACATTTGAAACAGAGAATTGATGTAAAAGTGTGTCCTCTTGTTTTAAGCTTACAGCAATGCAAGCCATTTTTGTGGTAAACCAAGTGTGGAATGAATAAGATTTGGAAGACTGGGAGACTAGTCTGGGTCAATGCTGCTGCATATTGCCTTAATGACTCATAATATCATTTAGCTGTAACTCTTCAACCAGTGCATAAAAATCTCAGCATAATGTGATGCTAATTTAATAAGAAATAAAAGGCTGGCTTTAATACAGATTTGTAAAAGGTTTTGCAAAAATGCTGTATCATTTGATTCTTTCATGGCATTATTTCCTGTGCCAGCTGTCTCTGGTGACAATGATATGTTTGACAATTCAGACAAGGAGATTTTAGGCCTGGAAATCTCTAGGAACTGAATGATGGGACATTTCCAGCTAACAAACAGCGTAATTCTCTGGAAAGCTGACAGCCATTCAGGACTGCTATAATACACTTTGCAGGTTATTCACAGCTCACATTCATTTGACAACAAAGAATTCCCATTCTTCAGGTGAAAGTTGATTTATGTGCATAATGTGTGGATGTTATGTGGATACACTTCAGGGTGTGAGTCAGGTGAATCACACCCACCAGCTGGAAACATGCCAACACATCAACGTGTCCCTCAGGGCTTCTGTGGAGAGGATGCTGTACATTAAAAGGAATGGTTTTCATGACTAAGGCTTTCTCCCATTGCTGTACTTTTTTCCAGCCTCTGCAGGAGCAGTCAGAGGATTTGCCTCTTCCATGGTTATGGGGACAGACCAGTCATCAAGTGATATGAAAATGATTGCTATCATCTTCGTGTGGTTTTCACTCCACCTTGAATCTAGTCAACAGAAGTTCCCAGAGGGAGCATCCTGTGACCAGCAAACCAATGATGAGAAAGCTGAGGCACCTGGTAAATTCCCAGTGACAGAGAAGTGGAAAGACTCAGCATATCACTAGTACAAAAGTAGTGGACAGGGCTGAGACAAGAATTGGTCTTAGACACTTCAGTCACCACTGTTAGATCCCTTTCTCAGCTGCAGCTTGCCCAGAAAGCAAAGCCTTAGTACCCTGGTACCCCTACAACTTATCAGGCCAGATCTGAACAGCATTGAACTGATTTGCCTTGCCACAAATAGTCAGGTTTTTATTCAGCTGAGCCTAGCCCCTCCTTAATTCTAGCCAAAATGTCACTGAAATCAGAGGGCAGGTAAGGAATAGCATGGAAAGCAGAGTTCAGGTGATACATTGCTATTTATATACAAACCCGTGGTTCTCCAATCTTTGCTCGGCTGAGCCCTATAACATCAACTGTCTTCCTGCTTTTTAAAAAATTTTTACAATTCCCTGCAGTTACATCTGCCAGGATTGCAGGAGGACTCAGCTGCTTTGTTAGCCAGACAGAGAAACTAGCATCCAGAGAAATTAGTGCTCAGAGAAGATGCTGCAGGAGGCTCAAAAAACACAACCTGCTCTGTTGCCAGGCTTCGATTCCTCAAAAGCAATAGTGCAAACTGACAGATGGTGTTTTCTGGTGCCTTCACAATTACCCACCAGAAGAGTGCTCTTTGATGTCTTGGGTAGAAAAGAGACTCTTCATCCTCCTTGTTGGAGATGTCCCCTGAAGTACCTGTGCATGCCATGCAGAGGGGAGCCTCTCCTGCAGCACTACAGAAGGGACAATGTTTAAGATCCCTGGTGCTCTGTGTCTGGGTAGTTCTGTGTAATTCTGGCTATAGGGGCTTCTCTCCTATGGCAACCCAGCTTTCTCTGTGCACAGCCTGGGAAGATGGAGAGCATGGCAATTTTTCCAGAGAGCAGGCACCTAAAACTCCACCAGATAGGTCCTCTTCTGGCCCCAGCACTTAGGAATCAAATTCCCCCTTGGGAACAAAAAAAAAAAAAACAAACAAAAAACCCTACAGTTTAATGTTATAGAATGTTTAATACTTTCCAGTAAGTAAATGAGTAGGAAATGGAAGAATTTCCATTCTGGAAAGTTAAGGAATTGTTATTTGTAAATGCAAGTAATGCTGCAGAGTTTAAATTTCTGAGGAAGTCTGTGTTTATCTTGGGGAAGATAGTAAGGCTGATCTGTTTTCTAGATTTTCATGGCCCAGATGAAGTAATATTTTGCAAATGTTGTTTACAGTTTCTGTCTTACAAAGTTGTATTATGTATATTTGTATGTATACATATATCTCCTTAACTAGGCATTCTATAAGGAATCCAAATAGCATGTGAAAAGCTAAAAATGCTTTTGCAGAATATACATCTTACTTTGCCAGTAAGACTCTGACAGAGATAAGAGATTTATATTATTATTTTTATGGTCATTTTTTTCCTTTACTGTCATGGCCAACAGGTTTAAAAGACAACATTTTAGTTAAAGTACAAAATATGCAGACTTCCACATAAAGAGTAGTATGATAAAACAAAATGCTTTCAAATGATCATAATTTTGCCCAATTTAAAAAAAGGACACACTTCATAGCGGTAGAGCAGCACATGGCTAGATGGAAAGAAAATTCCACCAAGTATTTTATCAGCTGGCTGCCACTCTCTGTATGTGAGCCAATAAAAATGGAGAATTTTATTGAGAAGCAATAATTTCCTCTATATCAACTCTTGCAAGCTCTATTACATCAAACCCCAAATGTGCTCACAGAAACAAAACACCCTTTTAAATGTTTTCCCAAGATATGATGTAGCCATTCCATCTATCATTTGGACCCCATTTTAACCAAACATGCTCATATTGAGGATGCAGAGGTCTAAACCGCAGATAGCACAGCTATGCCAAAGGACAACAAGCTTCATAAGGCTTTACATAATTTGTTTGTTTGTTTTTAATTTTGGACTTCAACATAGTGATCTACCTTGGATGTGCTGTAGTACAGCTCTTAAAGGTAATGGCAGGAAGAGCGCAATTTTATTGAACAGCTCTTATTACACAGGGAAGGGATGTGAAAAGCTTTTCAACACAGGAAGTCATAGTCACTCCCGTTGACCAGAGGCAACACTTCAAACCAAATTAAATACAAGTGAGCTGACTAGAAGAGCACCTGCATATTCCCAGAACCACTAAGCTATTGGTCTCTGGAACCTGACCATGTGAACTAAAATGGAAGTCAAATAATTTTTGATGACCTTGGAAGGCATTAGAGCTGGCCCACAACCATTTATACCTTTACTGCAAAGCTTTGCTGATGTGCTGAATTTAAATAATCTCCCATTTTGCAGTCAGCTGAGATGGATAAGAGGTTCTCTTTGGTTTCAGCTGGCTACAATAAATAAATCCATTCGTTTATACATATTTTTTGTCCATATAAAACTGCACTAACTCTGCAGGAACTCGAAGGCCTCTGAGACCCTAGTTCAGGAGGTTGGTGGAGGACAAAGCCTGTGCTCACTGAAGCTGACTGCACCCATGGAAACCATGCAATGACCCAAGTCAGCACCACACAAATGTTATCTCACCTGAAAAACCCCATTCAGCTCTTGTTCTAACTGCTTCCCACCAAACTTCCCATCAGGAAACAGCCTCAAACCCTGACTGAGTCCTGGAACTACATGTCCTGTAGTAGCTGCTCAACAGCCAAGGTGGTGGGAAGTCACACTATATCCTAATAGGAATGTGCTTAGGAAACACTGCTCCTAGGCTCAAGAATTTACATGTTTTAACTAACCAAAGAGTAAACCCTCAGTCGCCTTCTTTCTTTAAAGCCCATAGAGGCAAGGGCACAACCTTTTTACAATATTTGTGGCCAAATATCTATATCAATCAGAAAAAAACCCTCAAATCTGGGAAAATATGCAGCGGGAAAATATGCAGCAGGAAAATATGCAGCGGGAAAATATGCAGCAGGAAAATATGTCCTTCTTTGCCTTTTGAGCAAAAGTTTTTAATGCAGCTGAATCAGGCACCAACAAGTGAACACTAATCATGCCAGGAGAAAGAAAACAGCTGTGGACATCAATATGAACAGCCCTGCTGTATCACCTTATTTAATGATCCACTGCTTCTTCACTTGGTATTTATCACTTTGAAGCTCAGTCCCATCCCTCAGTGATGCATCTTCCTTTCTTCTTCTTGCAGACTCAATATACATGATAATGTTCATTAATCAAAGCAGTTTTCTCCAATTCGTCTGCAGCTGGCATTCCTGTATAACAAAAAATGAAATAAACCATACAGTGGTCCCAAAATTAAGATTCCAGCAGTATAGAAGCAGAGTACTGAGTTTTCTCAAGGGTGCCTAATCTGACACTGGGGACAGGGGCATGGAGCCCTATCACTGAATCCCTGATCTGTCTTTACAAAGGTCCCCAGTGAGGTGATTTTAAGAGGTGCTGGCTCTGTTTTAGCTTGAGCCTCTATTTCAAGGTGAAATAGGTGTCAAGGAGCAGCAGCAGCCACAGTGCTGTCTCTGCACTGATCATTGTAGGTCACTGCAGTGCCCTTGGCAGGAGAGGGCAAACAGAGGGAGTGAGAGGAGCTGCCATCCCATTCTGCCTGAGAAGAGAGACACAAAAAGGAGGAGATGCTCCAAACCCTGGGCTTGGGTGTTGCTTTCTCTTCCTTTCACTAAACTGACCCATATTTAGACACACGTGTGTTCTGAAGGAAAAAAGTGAAAAAACCAAAAAATTAAAAATGAAAGGAGTTTCTGTAGAAAAAAAAAAAAGTTGAAATGAAATATTCTCACTTCTCAAGTATTTTCTTCATGTTCTTGACTGAAAACATTGCTAGGAATTTAACCTAAATCCTCAGATAGTTTCAGTCAATCCAAACCTGCATTTCAGGGAATAGAGATACCTAACATATGTCAGTGCAAGGCTGCTGACCATTTTTCCCAGCAGAATACTGGAGCTCTCATATGTCACAGAGAGCTTAGAGTATAACAAATTTCTTTTTGTTTTTAGCAATTTCCTTTCGTGCTCAGTGAATTACCCTGTCACACATTCAACAACTTGTTTTCATATTGCTACAAGGAATTCTGCTGGATGAAATTAATGTAGTAAAGTGTATTCTCAGTTTTTATTAAGCTCTCTTGGCTGAGGAAATATCAATATTTAGTAGGAAGATGGGGGAGGGAATGTAAGCACAAAGGTTTCACTTTTCTCTCTTGTATCTAAAAAAAAAATTAAAATTAAAATATTTAGTTTCGTGAATGACGGATCAATTCAGACGACTGGTCAGATTCTGCTGAGTACCAGTTGCAATCACAAAAATTTCAGGCTTGTTATGCTTTGAAGTTAACAGAGCTGACACTGTCAGTACTATAAAAAGAAACAAATAACCTGAAAGAAATGTAAAGGCCACAAATACTGTTTAATGACGTGACTTTGGAGACGCCTATGTGAGCAAAGTAATTAAAGCCCAGGCAGCAGGGAGAACAGAAAGAAAACTGAGAAGGTAATTAATTTAAAATATTATGATGCTTCTCGCTGAAAATTCTGTAGTTTTCACAACACAATAGAAGCTCAAAGTAGTGCCTTGTCCCTTCATGATGCTGATTTCTGCATGATATAGACACCTACCCAATAAAGTATATATAATTGTTTCTACTTCAGCATGATGGTGTGATGGTGAACTTTGATGGCATCCTAGTAAAACACATAACATTTATTGCTGTGATAAACTGCTCTTGAGGGAGTGATTTCCCTGCCCTCCCAGCTGGAGCTGTCGTACTGCAATGACAGAGTGGGTAAGGAAGGGACGGAACAATAGAGAAGTCAAGGAGCTGGAGCCTGACCTTAACAGAGTGGGTGGTATTTGCTGCAGTCCAGAAAAGCAAATAACTCACTCAAAGGTGATAGATTTTACTGGGGAGTGGAAATAACAAAGCTGAGAAATAAAGTGGAGCAAACATGGTATGAAAGCATATTAAAGTAATTGAAGGAGGGGATTTACTTTTCAATAGATTCAGCTATTTCAGGACAGAGAGAGAGGGAAAAGCAAAAGAGGGGTGAGAGAACAGAGTAAAGAGGAACAGAAAAAGAAAAAATAGAGAAGAATAAATAGGGGAGGGGGGAATGGAAAAAAAGAAAAAAAAAAAAAGCCCCAACCAAAACCAAGGCTCACAACTGCAAGGTGTTCTTGATTAAATGCATCACTCAGTGACATGTCCAAAACACACCAACCCGCTTCATGGAACACCTCGCCTGACAGCAAGGGTGTAATTGAGTAGTTGGTACTGGAAAGTTTGTTTCTGTTTCCCCTTTTTGAGACTAGAGACTGCAGGGACCTATGGCCTACAGGAGCAACATACTTCGTGGTCTCTATCTCAGTCAAGAACATGCAGGAGCAAACCCAGGTTTCAAAAGCAGATGGAAATTTTTTAAACTTTTTTTTTGCACATGAATGTGTGTAGGGCAACTACCTGTCTCTTATTAATTCTTTCCCATTGCCCTCTTTTCCTGAGCTTGAGAAAGGCCAGAGTTCTCACTGATCTAAAAAATTAAGAGTTGCTACAGTGCTAGTGACTTTAATCCAGCATTTGCTGTGTGCAGACAAAACATGATATGGTTGCAATACATATGTTGGGTACTTGAAAACGTGTCAGTTTTACAAAGCTGAAATAAATCAGTGACTTGACTGACTAAAGAGTGATATTGTTCAAGGATATTCTATTTGCTTAGCAAAATATCACAGACTGACAGGAAAAAGTAATCTGACTGAAAGGAGGCATAGAAGTTCCAATAAGTTATAGATATGCAAAGAGAATAAAAGAAAGAAAAAAAGCATAAATGTAGTGAAGTTATAAATTTATATCTCTCTTGATTTCAAAAGGAAGGTAGGAAAATTGATAAAGTATCCATGTCTATTCTGCAGGGGCTTTTTTCCCTAAAATGTGTATAATAAAAGATTCTTTCACTCAATTTGAGATATTTTTATGGCTCCTGTTCATATTGCATTAAAGTGCTCCAAAACAGAAAGGTATTTAATTTTACAATGTACTTTTGAGAAGCAGATGTCTCTTTTGCCTCCATGTTAGAGAGGGGAAAACTCAGAGAAATATTCTGAGTTGATGTCAGATGGGATAGGTACACTGATAAAGCACGATGAATCTGGAAATTTCTGGATGAGAATGTGATTTGCTGGTCACTCTTTCTCCAAGAATAAAAGCAACTTCCTGTTTGAGTCCTTTATTATTATTACTATTACTATTATTACTACTATTATTATTACTAAACAAAGGTGTTGCTGGAGACCACAATATCCAAATGTCTTTAGACCAGAAGACAGGAAAGTGCTGATGCATAGGACATTGATAAGGCAGCTTATACACTAAGACATATTCAATTCCTAGAGGATAAGGACTATGAAGCAGCTGCTGGCCCCTGCAGAAGCTGTGTAGATTCCGGTGTCTAAAGATGGACTTGACTGAAGAGAATTAGTAGCAGTGTTACACACTGTGACTGGCAAATTGTCATCATCTTCAGACTGTTCTTTACCTGGGGTGATAAAAACCAGGGGCTGTACTGAAGGGGTCATCAGATTAAATGTTTCTAAGCACATCAAAAAGTTATAGCTTCTTTCTGTCTCTTCTAGACAGAATGGTAGGGCAGAAGAATTACTTATTAAGTCACATAATTAATTATAAGGATATGGCCATATACCTCTGTCTAGATACCTCGAACATTGCCATGATCATTATTTGTTTCTTAAAGCGGTGTCTCTCAAAAAACTCAGTGGCAACCGGCAGCTTTCTCATCTCACATCCTGCTCCATGGTCTCCTTTTCCTCTCCAGGCTCCAAGGCATGTAGGGAGAACCCAGTCACCTGGATGCTCTGGAACAGGCTGCAGCACCCCCAGACTGTGCCACTCTTTGCATTCCCAAGGGTGGGATCCCATTCCCCAGCAGCAGACCGGGCACAAATATCTTTAAAGGAGAGAGGGTTAATGTTATGTGGGATTAGGGGGCAGAACATTTGGGGAAGCCCAGTGAGAGCCAGGGCAAACACACCTGAGAGGTGCTGCTCCCCAGGATGCCCAGAGGCTCACAGCAAAACTTCTCACACCCTTGTCTCCATCTCCCTTTTCCCTTACCGGCCAGCTTTGAGAATCCCACCTCTCAGAATATTATCCTACGTTTGTTATTGAAATTACGCTGCAGGTCAGCAGCAGGCTCCTTGTCCTCCACTCAAAAACCATACCATGCTATCATGGTATGAACAACCTCTTCTGGAGAAGGAAAAGAGGAGAGATGTTCACAGCAGCACAAAGACATAGATGGGATGTTCAGTTCTGTGCACATCTAAGAGGAGTGTGATTTCCAGCTGTAGCAAGACACCATTTTTTTTTTGTATCTCTAGATTACATTAATGCATCTTGAGTTGCAGAGGCTGTGCTAGCAAGCTGTGCATTCATTTGTACAAACTACAGACACCCACCAGGCACAGAACTCCTGCAAGACTTCTTGCCCTTTGATCCCAACCCCAAATGGTGTGCTGCACTACACAGCATAGCTCTGTAAACAGCACCACTCAAATCTGCACTTTTTATGTCCAATTCATATAATTTTCTTTTTTACTACTATTTTAAAATATATATATACTATTTTAAAAACTACATATATTTAAAAAATATATGTACTTACATATATTTGTTTATTTATTTACCAAAGTAGCTTTTATTAATGAATCCTTTATGTCTTACAACTCCTGCAGAGCTGATAATTTCATAGAAAAATTATAATAGAAGTGTCCCATGGAATGCTTTAAAACCAATTTACAATTTGTTTTTTGTCTTTGTACACAGTCATACAAAGACTTTGAGTGTGCCAGTTGTTTGAACCAAGTTCTTTTCATCTTTTCATCTGTACCAGAACCAAATCTGCACCCAGTCTGAGCTGCACCAATAGCTGTGACTACTTAGGTAAGTCATATAATACCATCCTTTCCAGCAAAAAAGCACTTTTCTGTGGAAGAGAGACATAAATCTCCCCAGAGAGTGAATTTCAAACCTCTGTCCTGCCGGATTGCCTGAATGCTTGCTGAAAGCAGACATAAAATAAAGAGCCTGCATTTAGGAATGGCACGGATGGTTGAGGCATTTCCTTCTCTCCTCCTACTCGGCTTGCTCCAGGTATTGTTCAGCCTTGGATACACTGACTATCTCAGGGAACTTTTCCTCTCTGATCTGGGCTGGCAAAGTTGTTCTGGGCTCTGGTCCCTCAGCAGGATCCTCTGGAGCAGAGAGTTCTGCAGGTAAGATTTCAGTAAGACACAGCCCCTTTTTCTCAGCCACCTGTCTTGCAGGCGAAGGCTCATCATGGCTGGGTAATTTTGCCTTCTGGGTGTAAGGGGGACACATTTCTCTATCAGAACCACTACACTGCAGCCAGTTCACTTTTAATATTATTTGTGTGCATATGTTCAGTAGGTCCCTGTGAATGCCACAGTGAGACGGTGATAGAAAGTACATATAAACCAAAATACTCAAAATAAGTAATTTTTCATAATTCAATATGACATCCTTTCTTTAATTTAAA